CCCCAAAACCCCAAAACCCCAAAACCCCAAAACCCCTCTAAATTTGTCTACAATTGAATACGTGTTTGAGATGTTACTTAAGTCTCTTCCCAGTCACTCCGAGACTGCTTTCTCTCCTCTTCTTTTTCCTGCCCATTCCTAGTCGCTCTCTCATGATCTTCCTCAGCTTCATGACTTTGACTTGGCTAAGCGCTTCAGGTCGCAGGGCGATTTTCCGCTTGCTCTTTGCAAAATTAAAGTTCAGCTATATTCAAGAGTCATGAGAGATTTTTGAGGGAAATATTTTCGATGAAGTGTTGCTGGCAACAGATAGGTTGCAACAGAGAATGGATCACCTCAGAAAGCCATTTGGGAGCCAAATCTGAATTTTCATTCTTCTCTCATAATATAAATATCGTAAATAAGTGTTTTAAACTACACAAGATATTTATAATTCCTGCTACAGATGGCATCTAAGGGTCCATGAAATATATAAACTTTGGGTTTTTAAGAAATAATGTGAAGAGAATCTCCCAATATGTATTTGACAATAAAAGTTTTGGGAACTAGTCCTAAGTCTGTGTGACACTGATATTCGAGGACTTAAAAATCTACTCTCATTTTTAAGGTTGATATAGAGCTAACTTAGATGAGAACACCTAAATTTTAGCTTGACCTTATTCAAGAGATTCATAAACTCAATAAAACTGATTCTTCAAATTTTTATTTAATTTTAATTTTATGAATCTGGTTATTAGATCAAACAGAATTTATTAATTTTTAACTTGATACAGTCTCCACAAAGAATTATTGCTACCTTATGATATGATAGGCTACTTAATATTATTTTAGGCAATCTTGATAAAGTTAACAAAGAACTTATACAAGAGCTAATCCTCCAGGGTCTAAGTAAAATCTGAAACTATCACTTAATCTAAGGCTTTCAATATACTCTTATCAATACCTAAACCTCTATGGTAAAGGTTTAAGAAGTGGAATACCTAAATCTACAATCGACAGTCTACTCAATTATACTCACGGGAGGCTAGCTAATACAAACAATCATGCCTAATACTGAAACTGGGGACCATATCCCAAGCTTAGTCTTTAACTTCTATCTTCTCTGGCTCTATTACCCAAAGTATGATCCCAAAATTTCCAAACATATGCCTTCTGCTACCAATAAACATCTCTCACCGATAAATCCACGACTGTAGCTTATGATTTTAAGCATCGAGCAGCTCCTAATGTTATCTCTTTCCCAAAGTTTCACTGAAACTTACCTTATAAGTATGACTGCTGGGATAGATGGATTTGAAGAACAGATTGGAATTATTAGCAGGATCAAAGCACTCTAGACCAGACTCCTGCTTAGACTTGTAATACACAGGATTCGCTATTTTTAAGTCGTCATTAATTCCATCTTCAAAAAGACTCTTTCGCTTTCGCTTGTTAATAAAGTTCATCACTGTTGTAAGTGAGTTCATGAAGGGCTTCTGTAAGTCAGCAGATTCCAAGCTCTTGTTCCTATGCTTGGTACTGTCTCCAGAGTAATCTGTGGGGTGATTAGACCCTCAAGCTGAAGACTCTTCGGCTCTTTCCCTTAGATGTATAGTCAATTTCGTCTTATTTTTCCTTGTTAATAGGTACAGTTTTAGTGATTTCCTCAGGAGCCTCTCAATTTTGCTGGATAATTTCTCTATAAATTAACAAAGAAAACTACTTATTTCCTCCTGAACCTTGGAGATCAGATAAAGACTTAGTCTTCATGTTTCTAGGCCTGAAGAAGGTACTACTGAAACGAGATTTCCTATTTATTTTCCTCACTCTTTTTTGAAAAGTTGGCTAAATAAGAGTTAAATACTAAAAATCACATATGGTGATACCATCATACATTTTTATGGAACAATGAGCTCATGTTACCAGTAATATTGGTCTTCATACGCATGAACTGATTATGGAGGCTAATCTTTCGACTCACATCCTCAGCTGTTCGAGTTACATCTAAGCCAATGTCAGAGTACACTAAAATAACACAATTACAGTACCTGTAGGCTTGATTGGGATAAAACTCGTGTTATAGTTTCTTCCTTTATTTCTTAGATTTCTCCTTAACTGAGGGGACCTAATGTGTTACATTCCTTAATTTTCAGAATGAAATTGCACACTGAGATCATAAATATACTCACCATTGTCTTGATCTTGATTGCCTGAATGCTCCTAGAATTCTTGACTTTCTTCTGATCCCCCGCTATCATGCCTGGAAACACGTTAGGGTGGTCTTCCTCACCATTCGAGTCCCTGGAGATAACCAAGAGGGCTTACCAGATATCAAAATCGGTCTGGTTTCCTTGGTTGAAGATACTCATGAAGTTTCTCTCCCTAAAAATTATGGATCTCTTCACAATTGACTCTTTTGAGTCTTGATTAGCCTTAAACCAGGAGACAATTACCTATTCATTCTTTGTTAAATATTATTCTATTTTTATATATTTTGGGGTTTTGGGGTTTTGGGGTTTTGGGG